TAATATAAGGTATAGTTACTTAGGAATAAAGGAGGTAACGGATAAGTTAAGGACCTTAGAGAAGTAGTTAAACTAAAATAGCTAGGACTATTCGATAGTACTTATAGTACGCTTTAAGACTTTCTTACCTAACTTAAGGCCTATTATTAGTTTTACCCTACTAAACTCTTAGACCTAGTTAAAAAGGTACTCTATATAGGAAATTATTTATTTAGAATAGTACTTACTTAGTTTAGACCTATTATAAGGGATTTTCTCGATAACTAACTAGCGCGATAAGATAATAAGATAGATAAAGTCTTTATTAGTTTCTAAGGATTTAAAGAAGCTATTATAAAGGTATTTAGAATAACTAATAAGGAATAAGAAGCTAAATAAAAACTTTAAGAACTTTAATAAAGGATCTTAATATCGGATTATACTATAAGGTTCCGTTAAGTTACCTTAAAGCTTAATTAAGACGACGAACCTCTTATATTACGATTCTATAATAGGCTTAAAGAAGAAGTTAAGGATAAGCTCTATAAGGAAAATCGACCTAATAACCTCTTAGACTATATTACTATAGTAGTACGAATCGATAATAGATAGTACCCGCGATACTAAGAAAAGAAATAAGGAAGAGGAAACTAGAACCCTTCCTATAAGAATAACTTTAACTAACGCGCTAACTATAAAAAAAAGCGCGAAACTCTTATTACCTATGCCTATATAACTAACCTAGGTAAGATAGATCTAAATATAATATAGAAAAGTAAAGGAAAGTATTTAACTATAGGAAACCTAGATATTACTCTAAAGAATATAAATAACCTTATAAGGAGAAGAAAACCTACTAGGTACTAGCCTTAGAAGGTAAGAAATACTTAAACGTTACTAATAGATAGGAACTAAAGTATAAACTCCTTAGTTAGACTATATACTATAATAATAAATATATAGTATACTTAAGTAATAAAAATAGTATTAGATAGTTCTTAAAGCTATTAAAGAAAACCCTTATAATAATATAATAAAGGGATCTTAAAATATAAAAATAAGTTAAATTTATAAAACTAAAATACCCCTATCTTAAAGGAGTCTCTTAAGACTAGATTAAGAAGAACGGTAAATAATTCTAGGAAGATATATAAAATAAAAATCGATAATAATAATAGGTAGTCTATAAATAATATAATAAAGAAGATATAGATATAGCCCTTATACTTACGAAACTTAGATAATAACCTAAAGAGGAATAATAAAGTATCGATAATATAAGCTCTAAAAAATAAGAAATACCTAGAGAAACGGAAGACGAGAATAAACTTATACTACTACCCTTACTACTAAGGGAGAATACTATAATTAAAGAACACGCTCTATACTTTAAAGAATTTAAAGAAATACTTAAAATTAGAACCTAATAAATACCTTAAGTTCTTATAGAAAACTAATAAGCTATACTAATTTAATATTAACCGGTATTACGTAAAGGAGACTATACTATAGCTATCGCTATAGTTAATACCTTTATAGCTCTATAATAAGAATAGTAACTATAAGGAGAATTTAAAGATAATCTATAAATACTACTTACTTATAAGTACTATAAGTATATTTTATAGATATTATACGTCTACTTAGATTATATAATATACTTCTAGATAAAGGTATAATATAACGCCTTCTTAGTTAGGTTTAAGGGATAAGTACTTTCGAAACCCTACTTAAGTATAAAACTAAACTACTAGAAAATCGATTAACGCTACCTAAACGACTAAGCTATATTATTAGAACCTAATTATAGTATACTACTTAAATACCGCGATAATTATAGTTTATTAACGAGATATCTTTTAGAGATATATAAAATCTATAAATATACTAAAATAAAGGAATAGTATAGCGTAACTTACTCTAAGGTATTTAAACTATTAATCTTTTAAAGACTTATATAATAAATTAAATATAATAAAGAAGATTATAATAAATATATATACTTAAACTATAGAGTTTATAAATATAAAAAAGTATAAGTATAGTATAAATATTATAATAGTATACTAAAAGATTATTAGTAATATATATAAAGGCTGTAAGCTGTATTTAACTAAGGAAAAATCGATATAGAAATACTATATAAAAAATAGAAAGACGCTAAACGAAAACTTAACCTTTAATATAAAAACGAATAAAATTATAAAGTATAGTATATAATTAACTATAAAGTAGTATAATATAAATAATATAGCGTTAAGAAATAAGAAATCTTTAATTAGCTATAAGAACTTAGTCTCTTAAGCCCTAATATAATACTATATAACGAAAATATAAAGAAATAATACTAATAATAAATTAAAGAAGAATACCTAAATAAAACGAATAAGGACTAAGTAAAAAATAGGGTACGCTATCTATAAAAGGGCTATAGACTAGTATAATATAATAAGATCTAAGGACCCTATATATAGCAATAGTAAGCTATAGCGACTAAATAGTATTAGATATTTAAATTACGGGATATTATATATATATACTTTTAGACTATAGCGCGATAGGTAATTACGTTTTACCTAAAGTTATTAATCGTTACTAACTTATATAGAGATATAAGATAGATCTATATAAACTTATAAATATTAAAGGAGAGGCCTTTAAATATAATAACGGAATTATTAATATAGAGATTAATTACCTTAATATTAATATCTAGGGCTATAATAAATAAGTTAACTTTAATATTATAGATATTAAAGAATATAACCTTATATTAAGGCTTTTATAGCTATAGGAGAGCAACCTATTAATTAACTAGAAAACTAGCTAGCTATATTAAAACGAAGATATAAGTTTCTAAGACTAATAGATTTAAGAGAAAGTAAAATTTTACGATAATTTAGCTACTAAATAAGATAAAAGGGATAACTATTTAAGTAAATTATTATAGGCTTTAGCGATATAAATAAAGATAGTAACTAAACTAGCGGATATAATAAAATTAATTAATAAGACCTATATACTAACTAATATAGCTATATAACCTAGTATCCGATATAAATAGAATAAAGGATATAATATAAAGATCTAAAGAGTTATTACTACTCTAAGAAAAGACCTTAAATAAATTAATAAAGAGCTTAAGTTAAGAGAAACTAGCTCTTAAAAGAAAGAATAAAGCCTATAAGATAGAATAAAGAATATCCCTTAGGAATACCGGAAATATAATAAACTCTTTAAAGAAGAACTTAAGATAAGGTTACTTAAATATAGCTAATAAGACCACGAAATTTATCTTAAGGATAGAATAACGCCGATGTTTTATAAAATCTATAACTAAAACGAAAAGTAACTATAAACGCTACGCGACTACCTTAATAAGAATCTATAAAAAGGATATATATAAATATTAATATCTAAAGTAGGCTATCTAGTTATATTTATTTTAAAGAAAAATAGTAAGCTATAACTAGTTATTAACTATAGACGCTTAAATAATATTATAATAAAGGATAAAATACTATTACTGTCTAGATGCGGAGGACTTCATTATGTGGGGACATGGGCTCTACTGGCCCTACGCGAGAAGGAGGCTTTATAGGAGGGTCTCGGAAGACATTCGGACCGGGGTTACACGCCTCCCTTCATTCCTCCCTTCCTTCCTTCTTCTCCTCCTTCCCCTCATTCTTCTTCATCTTTTTCTCTTCTCTTCATAGATTACCAATACAACAGTCACAGGCATAGCTCTTTAGCACCTTTGATTCGTATTCTCTATCACCCCTGTGCACAGCACGAATACCCACGACCCAACACTGATCAGTGGTTGAACGTCTGTTTAACCACAGAAAGTTAGGTATCGAAAAGCATCCCCGTTTCCTCGAAGAATTCCCTGCGAGACCTATTTCTATAGGTTGCACCACAGTCCGAGAGAGGAAGTTTGCAAGTGGAAGAGAAAGACCCGATTCCTTGAAGAATTCCCTGCGAGACCTATTTCTATAGGTTGCACCATAGTCCCGAGAGAAGTCTATGCTACACACACGACAAGAACCGACTAGACCAAGCCGGTAGGAAAGCCTTGACATCACAACAATCAACATGTCACAAGGACAAACAGAAGGCATAAGGGTTATACAACCTCAAGAAGATGTACGCCTACGCCAACCTATTTCTGCTCAGGAATTTATGCGCGGAACCGACTTCGCGGCCGATTTTTCCGCTATAGACCCTCAGCTTCGATTCAAAGATATCTCAGTCGATAATATAACGGAGATACATGCAACCACGTACGCAGCTAAGGCCCTTAAAGCCTATACTCTTGAGAAGATGTGGGATGATGAAGTCTTCCATGCTTTCCAACAAGACTTTGAAGGATGGACGCTAGACATGTTCCTTATGGTTGAAATTTCATACCGGCGGGAGCTCCGCCGGGTTCTCCGCCGAAAGGGAGTATATACTGGGACGAACCACCAGCGAATCGAACGATCCTTGATTAAGCTACTCGAAGCCGACAGTTTCCCTACTTGGGACCCCGAGGAATTCACAAAACAGATATTTGACGTACGATCAAATGCTTCCTGGCAACAACAAGCCCTCGCAACGCCTTCTTCCCGAGAGAATATCCAAAATCCGACCCAAGACCAGTCACCAAGGGACCAGCCTACAACCCAAGCCCAGGCTTTGCAACAGCAGCAACAGGTTGTTTCCAAGGACCCCAGAGGCCTCCGAGCAAGCCCAACAGATGACCCCCCAAGGAACCTTATTCCAAGCCCCATTTTCCCAGGAAAGCTTTCCCCAAGACATCCCCACTCAACAGACCCAGACGAAGTCTATTCCCCAAGCCCCCTTACTACAGTCATTTCCTTCAAGGCAGACCCAGCCTGACGGGCATCAGCCGTACAAGGCCCTGCCCCTCGTTCCGTTCGAACGAACGGCTTGACCCCGCCGTTTCTGCCCAGTTTCTAAAGACCTTTGACAAAGACCAAAAGTACACAGGCGAGCCCTACGACCTCCTTGACGATAAGATGAAGATCTTTTTCAACATCTGCTTCCATGCACAGATCCGGGAGACCCAATTCTATGCGGTATTTCCTAGGATTCTTAACGGACGAGCAGAAACCTTCTACCTTCATTACGTCGATCAAGACGATACATTTGCAATAGCGTATCACAAGGTTAAGACGCATTTCGACACCGATGTTAACCATCATCACTATTACACCGACTGGACAACTGCTACCTTCGATAGGGTCCGTAGGGAACATAGTGATAAGACCCTACATCAGGTTCTTCAGCTGCTACTTGATAAGCTACAGCTTTGCCAGAGGCCCTAGGCCCTGAGTATCGAGGAGGATAATTTACGTACTACAGTTATCCGAGCCTGCCGAGGAGTCATAGAACTTGAACACGCATTGTTCAAGCCTGCCCGCGTGTGCGAAGAGCTTTTTGCTGATTTACGGTCTTCAATCGAGACCTCTATCAGTAGACAAGCTATATATACAACCTCGACGGACAGCTACTACATGGACCGACGGTACAATCAGTACGGTAGGAACCGCGGATATTCCTCTTTTCGGCCCCGAGGAACCCACAAGGTAGCCGAGATCAGAAACGACAGTGGACGAAGAAGTGCTTCGTTTGTGGAAAGCCAGAATGTTGGTCAACGAGGCATTCCGACGAAGAAAGACGTAAGTCACGAAGCCAGTATATCTCACAATGCCACTTCAGTGGGTCTACGGCCACAGCTACGGACTACGCTGCCTACCTCACGGAATATGAAGGAGCCGATACGGACGAGGAAGCCGACTTTGACCCTAGTGACCCGTTTGACGACGAAGACGAAGACCAGTTGCAGGACGTAACGCAGTTCCTTACAGACCAGGCTTTCTTGCACCAAGTCACCGGAGAAGACATCTACGCCGATAATGCCCCAAAGACCCCATCCAACCAGTTCCTTATTGAGGACCGGTATGCAGGACGCTTCAAGGCATCCTTCCAGATACCGGTGCAGCCAACGTCTCGACTGTCGGTATGCAACAGTATCTTGCGCTGCAGCGGGAAGATCCTTCCGTTGCTATAGATAAATCGACAGCCGGAAGAGCTTCCATCACGTTCGGAAAAGGAGAGTCAACATCGTCTATAGGGAATGTTAACGTACGAACAGCTATTGGACAGATCGACTTCCAGGTCCTCAACGCTCCGACCCCTTTCTTGCTTTGCCTTGCAGACATGGATAGGCTGCACGTCTATTTCAATAATACCACAGACGAACTTATCCAAGGCGAGACCCGCATCCCTATTATACGCAAATGGGGACATCCTTGGTTTCATCTTAGCAAGCAAGAACAGAGCCTTTTTCTTACAGAAGGGAACTACGTCGCCTACATCGCCGTTTCGGGCACCCCGCTACAGATCGCCTATTCAAGCTGCTAACCCGGGCCGGCCACGAAGTCGAACAGCAACGGCTAGAGGAAATCGGCAAATTCTGTCATCACTGCCAACTACACGGACGAGAGCCTCGTAGGTTTAAATTCAGCCTAAAGATGACCATGAATTCAACTATGAAATTTTTGTCGATGTGATGTACTTAATTAGCCGCCCTGTCTTACATGTCGTCGATTCTGCTACTGCTTTCCACGGGCTAGGTTCCTGAAGTCCCTATCAACAAAGGACACTTGGGAAGCCCTCCGCTGCTTATGGATCGATACGTACCAAGGACCCCGGACGTTGTTACCCACGATGCAGGTACGAACTTCGCCTCAACGGAATTTCAAACCGAGGCCAAGATGCTAGGGATTACCTGTAAGGAAGTCCCTATTGAAGCCATTGGTCTATCGGCAAGGTTGAACGGTACCACGGCCCTTTGCGACGAGCGTTTGAGATTATGTACGCAGAGCTCTCAAGCCAGGCAGACGCAGATTCGATCCTCGAACTAAGGGATATATCACAAGCCTATACGCATTCAACGACAGGACTTGCACGCCTAGTCCTAACCTATCTTCCCATCGAACTACAGGATAAGTACCCAAAGGGGACTATCATCCGGATCGTCCGCCCTCTTTATGGCATTGCAGAAGCAGGCCTACATTGGTTCGCAACATACCACAAGCATCATAGGGAGCAGCTACGGATGTCGACTTCAACGTTCGACCCATGCCTCCTTATAACGAACACGGACCCCAACCAAGCGTTTGGCATAGTGGGCATGCAGACGGATGACACCTGATCCTCGGAACAGCAGGCTTTTCTGTACACGAAGAAAACAAGATACAAGAAGCTAAGTTTATCGCCAAGCCAAAGACAAAGCTTTTAATTTCTTCGGCCCTAGACTTCAACGGCTGTACGCTTGCACTAGACGAAAAGGTCGAATTCACCTTAAGCAGAAGGGACAAGCTAAGAAAATCGCCCTTATTAACGTGGAAGCTTCTGATCGTATGCAAAAGTACATGGAACAACGCGCCCGAGGAGCCTATATCGCCTCAATCTGCCAGCCAGAAGCTACGTGTGATATGTCAACCGCGGCACAGGTCCAACAGCCCACAGACACGGACTGCATCACCCTCAACAAAAGACTCAAATGGCAACAGGACAACCTACAAAGAGGATCAATACGTGCCCCTAGACCTACAGACAGCTAAACTAATGGTCTTTACGGATGGATCATTTGCCAACAATAAGGACCTCTCATCACAAATCGGCTTTCTTGTTATGCTTGTTAACGAAAAACAAGAAAGCTCCGAGGATGTTCCTTCTTTTAACATTAACGGCAATTTGATCCATTGGAGCTCTACGAAGTGCAAGAGGGTAACCCGAAGTGTGCTTGCCTCCGAGATCTACGGCATGACCGACGGATTTGACATCAGCCTTGCTATTGCAACGACCCTAAGAATGATCACCGACCGACTGAATCTCCTCCAATCCCCTTATCGTCTGCGTAGACTCTTATTCCCTTTACGAATGCATTGTCAAGCTCGGCACAACAAAGGAAAAGCGTCTTATGATTGACATTATGGCTCTACGGCAGTCATATGAGAGACGGGAGATATTAGAAGTCCGATGGATCAACGGCAACGACAACCCAGCTGATGCAATGACGAAGGCGTCACCAAACAAGGCCCTTGAGCGCTTCATCTCGACTAACCAGCTGACTATCCGGGTAGAAGGGTCAGTCCATAGGCCAGTGTGAAACAGAGCGTCTCCTTGCCTTTTGACTTCTTTCCTTCCCTGGCCACTAGATTATCAACCAGCTATATTGTTACCTTTGTCTTTCCTTGAAAGAAAAAGTTGCTAGTGTCTAGATGCGGAGGACTTCATTATGTGGGGACATGGGCTCTACTGGCCCTACGCGAGAAGGAGGCTTTATAGGAGGGTCTCGGAAGACATTCGGACCGGGGTTACACGCCTCCCTTCATTCCTCCCTTCCTTCCTTCTTCTCCTCCTTCCCCTCATTCTTCTTCATCTTTTTCTCTTCTCTTCATAGATTACCAATACAACAGTCACAGGCATAGCTCTTTAGCACCTTTGATTCGTATTCTCTATCACCCCTGTGCACAGCACGAATACCCACGACCCAACAATTACCGCTTATATTAAAACTACGAGATTAACTATATAGTAAAAAATAGTTAATAGCCCTTAACCTTAAAGGCGCCTATAACTTAATATATATAAAAAAGGGACGCGAATAGATAATAGCTTTTAGAACGAAATTCGGACTATTTAAATATCTAGTAATACTATTTAAACTTATAAATATACTAGCTACCTTTTAATAAATAATTAATAATATCCTATACGAATACTTAGATATCTTTATAGTAGTATACTTAGATAATATCCTAATTTTCTCGGATACCCTAGAAGAATATAAGGAATACGTTTATAAGGTACTCCGCGTACTTTAAAATATAAAGTTACTAGTTAAACTAAAGAAAAGTAAGTTCTATATATAGGAAGTAGACTTCCTTAGATATACGATCTTACTAAGAGAGATATAGATATAATAAGATAAGATTAACTTAGTTAAAGAATAGCTAATACTAAAGAACGTTAAGGATATATAAAGTTTCCTAGGATTTATAAATTACTACTAACGATTTATTAAAGATTTTAAAAAGATTATAGTACTATTATATAACTTAACGAAAAAGGAAAAAGAATTTATATAGGATAATAAAGCTAATAAAGCTTTCGAATATATTAAGACTATAATTATATAAGAACTAGTCTTAATTACCTTTAATCTAGAACGATAAATCGAACTTAAAACCGATATATTAGACTTTACTCTAAGAGTATAAATCGGATAAAAAGGCGATAAAGGAAGACTATAACTAATTATATTCTACTCGAAAAAGCTATATAGCGTAGAACTTAATTACCCTATCTATAATAAAGAATTCCTTATAATTATTTAAGCTTTTAAGGAATTTCGATATTACCTTCTTAAAAGTAAATATAAAGTTAAGGTCTATATAGATTATAAGAATATCTTATACTTTATAATAATATAATAGTTAAACGGACGATAGATCTAATAGGCCGAATACTTATTAGAATTTAACTACGAAATAATCTATAAAAAAGGAATAGAAAACGGTTAAGCTAATACCCTTAGTTAACGAAGTAACTATAATATAAGAGCACTTATAGTAAAAGGATAGCTCCTAGAAATTAACGAAAATAGGAACTACTAGTAACGATAGCTAAATATAATATTTAAAGTATAACCTAATAACTTAACTTATTAGAAGATCCTAAAATAAATAAAAGAATATAAAGTATTAAACGGATATAATATAAGATATTTAGAAGTTTTAATATATAAAAATAAAATCTAGATACTACTAGAATTATAAGATAAAGTTATATAAGATATATATAAATATCTAATATATAGATATTAGGGAATCTAAAGAATAATAAAACGGATTAAACGATAATATAACTTCTTATAGCTTAAGCAAGTAGTACGATAAGTTATTAAAGAATATAAACTTTATATATAAAGTAAAGCTAAACGATATAAACTATATAGAGAATTATAACCGCTATTAATACTAAAGAAACTATAGGATTTAATAGCTTTTAACTATATTATAAAGCTACTACCGTCGAAAGAACCTATAACTAATATTAAGTATAATAGTATATTCGCTATTACTAATAAACTAATAAAGTATAGGTATTTTTGACTATATAAAGAAGTAAGTAATATAAAAGAGCTAGTATATATATTCCTATAAATAATTATTAGTAATTATAGACTACTAAATAAGATTATCTTTAATAAAGGAAGTATATTTATAGCTAAGTTTTAATAAGCTCTTATAGTATAATTAAGGACGAAATATAAGCTTAGTATAGCTTATTACTTATAAATAAATAGATAAATAGAACGACTTAACTAAACGCTTAAATAATATTTATAATACTATATTAGCTATAAATAAAACGATTAAGTTAAATAGCTACTAACGGCGTAACTAGCTTATAATAGCTTAGTTACGGAAATAACTAAGCTCTTACTAGTATACGCTAATTATAGATATAACCTAGAAGTATTCAAGGTTACTTAATAAGGACTATAAGCGGAACGAGCGATATTATAAGTAGATTAGCTATAAAAATTATATAAAGAAATATAATAAGAACTTTAATTCGTTAAAGAACGAATATCTACTTATTATAATTAGAAAAGATTATAAGGACTAATCTTTTAAAAGAGAGATATAGTCTACCTTATATAATAAAATATTAAAATAAAATAACTAAGTAATAAATTAGATTTTAAAAAACTTAAACCGTTTAAGGTTAAGAAAACTATTTTAAAAGTTAACTATAAACTTTCGCTACTAATAATAATATAAATATACCTAATATTTTATATCTTATTATTAAAACTAGCGCTATAAAACGCTAAACTATAAGAAAAAATTAAAGTTAACGACGATTAAGAATATAAAGTAGAATAAATACTAAATATAAGAAAATAAGGTTAGTAATAAGAATACCTTATTAAGTAAAAGGGATATAGACTAAAAGAAAATACCTAGGAACTACTTAAGTACTTAACCTACTATAGTTCTCTACTTTGATAGTTCTACTAGTAAAATCTACCTTAGGTATCGTTAAATCGCCTAATAAACTAATAGCATTTTAATTAATTATATTAAATCTACCTATAAACTAAATATCGACTACCGCTTTAGATTCTTAGCGCTTAGCCTCGTTAAGGTTATTTAAAGAATAAAGGCCCTAATAGACTATCTCGGTACCCTTTATCTTTAGCTAGAGCTTTTAACGGTAAAGCCGCGCTAAACGAGCTAAGGCTTTATTTAGGTTAGCTTAAGCCTTTAATATTCGCTCCTTAGTAATTTCTTCTTTTTTATCTAATTAATCGGACTCTAGATTTATTTAGGATACTAGGAAACACATTAGCTATAAATAATAGGTAGGATAATAAAGTTACCTACGAGAGCTAATCGCTACGCCTAATATATCGTAGGAACGACCTCGCTATATATATTTAGTATACTTAGAAGATTTCTCTAGTATTTTATAGTAAAAGCCGCGCGATAAA